GTCTAGGAGGCCTTCCCGCTTCTCGCTTCCCGCTCAACGACGGGCGGAACTGCTTGTTGGTTCCGCGGTTGGCGGCTGCAAGCGATCTTGGGCCTCGTCCAACCTCCCTTTGTTCCTTGGCTTCGATATGAATCGCAAGAAAAATTTGCAGCTGTGAGCTGCGGGGCCCTGAGATTCCGTACGCAACGGCCCTACCCGTTGTGGCCCGCCCATTACGTCTGTTGCGGGGTGGCGATGGCTGCGCGCACCCAAGAAAGGGTTCCGGCATGTCCCCGCGCGCCCCGGCTCGTCATGGCGGCCACATTGCGCAGCCCTTCTCGCACGATACGGCAGCAAAGCCCTAACGTAAAGTTCTCTGGGTGCTTCAATTGTGAAAGCCTCCGGAAGAGCAAGCCAAAACTGGCCACCTCGCACAGAGGTTGATAATCATTCACATCTCAGCGAAATGAGTTGACTGGGGTTTCACCGGATCCCGCGTGGAGAGAAGAACATTGCCGTGTCGTCGTATCATTAAAACTGGTCGTTGTCTAATGCAATCCTAGCGTGGCAAGAACGAACGCGGGGAACGGGAGATACAGTACAGTAGAATGTATTCCTCAAGAGACCTCTTCCTCAAGGGCCAGGTCCAGTATCGTTGGTTTGCCGGCGGGCTGGCATAATGTATTGAGCAAGATGGCCCCTGTTGATTTTTTTTGATAAAACTTGATCGCTAATGAAACTGGATGCCCGACACGTACTGTACCTTATTGGATATTCGCGTGCTATGGCCCGGTCGATTGGTGAAACAAACAAGCTCTCAACCATTCCAGGCTGGCGGTGACTCAGAGAGCGCAGCTGTTGTTGGTACGTGCAAATCCGAAAATCTTCGCTTCTCTGATCGTGGATCTGCACAAGACTCGGCGGCGCTACCGTTTCAGCCATGGGCAACGTCTCGAATGGAAGTTCTGAGTGGAAGAAGCGGAATGCGCACGTGGGACCGCCCAACCATCAATATCACTCAGGGACCGGGCCGGGAAATCCTGCCTCGGACAAAGACATGCCGTTGACCTTTGGAATGCGCGTCCATCACGCCATTGTTGCTCCCTGATAAACGCTACTCTGTATTCGTACATGCCAATGCATAAGGTATGGACCTAGTAGCTGTAAGTTGGTCAACCGCTAATAAGTAAGAGAGGCAAGCTATTCCCCGAAAGGCATCTTTTCAGGCATCTTTTTTGGGATTCCAACCTAACGTCCCCCAGGCCATTACGAAAGCTACTATGACCTACAGCGTCATAGCAAGCACAAACACGGCATTCGGCTTTCTTGAAAGGGCTTTTCCGGGGCGGCATCATCGCCAAGAGGGTTGCGATCATTGGCAGTGGACGAGATCTGACCCCTGGTATTGCGGCAGGAGCCAGGGACATGATCGCTCTTACCGGGTAGCATTTCAATTGGGCGCTAAAGTTTCTGTCCTCGTGACGCTGCTCAGACAGACCCCTTGCTGGTGCCAAGCACAAATCGAGCAACAAGCGGCCCATGCAAGATGCTAAACCAGTGACTGGGGGACACGAAGTTGCAAGTTGGCTGGCAGCCTTCTTCCTTTTCCCTAACCAATTGTTGTTTTGTTTCCGGTGAAAACCGTTGTGCTCTTGATGTCAGTGATGATATTGACCCCGTCTGCCGGTATTATTAGGGGTACCGGAGGACTCCCATGCTGATCGCGATTAACGGACCTAGGGCCTAACGTCCACCTCAGTGTATTAACATACACTCAGATGACACACGCCAGGATAGGTTGAAGTAAGGATGCGGCCGATAGCCGTTAATAGTGGCCGGCAGTGGTTACTGGCGCTTGATGTTGGTGAAGATTCAAGGCGATACCTGTGTAAATCATATGCATACGGAGTACATGTATGTATTGTACTGTACAGTTACGGGATAACCTATTACTAGCGTAACGTATTTGATCTTGGCATCTGATACTTGGATCAAGATGCTGGGACAAGGGTCTGTAACTTACAGCAATTACACCACCTTACCTTCGTAACACCCTTTTTGAGCCCTGACGGTTCCAGCTGGCTGAGCTGGCGTTTGATGGGTACGCAAGAAATGTCGGTGAACTCAGAACTGAGATGCAAATCTCCGGCGGGTTGTGATCTCTTGACAAAAATAGCATGCAACTGGTCCATATGAAAACCCTTGAGATTGAACTTTTTTCTCTTTGTTCGACACGATTATGGATGATGCCTTAATTTTGAGCATATTTGCTCCCGATATAAGTACGTCATTACAGCAGTTTCTGTCGACCCACATTCCGTTTCGCATCTTCCAGTTTGTTCTTGCTGGGCCTGGTGCCGAATTGCCGGTTGAGTTCCCTTCTGCTTGCCCCTTTCGAGTCTTTTCCATGAAGCCCAATGGACGAGACTTGCTCGGCACCACTATTCCGTACGTTGCATTTGCCCTTGGGCGCTGTGGATCGATGCTCCGCGTGTGTGATAAGGCACGCTATAGTACTGTACTGTACATCTCTTTTCCAACAGACATCCAGGTTGTAGAGAGCATGCTAGTCTCTCAAGTTGAACGTATTGTACTGTAGAAGACTCTCCGTCACGAGAGAGGCCAGATTGTCAACAGATAGAAAGACCCAGGGGGTGAAAGCCTGGGCCAGGCGACCGACTTGGATGTGGGGATTTTGGTACACAAGGGTGCATTTTCTCAGCGCAACCAACTCCTCGGATCCGCCTGCTTCTCCCTCCCGTCCGGAACCACAGAACTTGCAGGAGGTACAAGTACATACATCGTAGCGTGGATAATCCGCCAACGATGACTGATGAAGCTGCGGATCTTGGCTATACCATACCTGAGTTCTTACTGTGTATTGTCTTAGCCCAAAGAGGGGCAGCGACTAACAAGATCACCCAGTTAGTGCAGTGTAAGTTAGGTTGCAGTCATGCTGGCGTCACAGTCGTTTACCAGTGGTTTCTCAAGCACAGCCCAATAAAGGGGAAGCGGCTATAAGACGGTAATTGTGTAACGCATGCACATACCTTAGGTAATTTAGGTACTGTACCTACGGACTGTATTGTATTCCACAAGTTACAATACATTTGCTCTTGACAGTGTAGAAGCTAGCCCTGGACAAACAGTCCAAATATGTATAGATACTTTCTATCCAGCGCTTTCATAGTATCTTCCATTTGTCAAATTGCATTGCCCAGGACGGTCTCTCTGACCTCACTCAACAGAAGCGAGCTGAGCTGTGTCGGTCGGCCGGGGAAGGCCGAGGTGGACCCTGTCCCGCGTAGGGTTCGGAAATTTCCAACTGGCTTCGAAATTAGGAAACTGAAAATCAACCGTTGAATTTCGAAATTTCCGCCATTTCCACTAACAGATTTCGGAAGGCGGTAAGCAAACAGGGTTAGGGTTATATATGCCCAACTATGTAAGTCCCCAACCTTCAACCTTACCACCCAGTGCCCGCCATTAAGGTGGTCAACCATCCTCGATTTCCTTTCTACAACAACGATTTCCTTCCTACAACAACGCAAATATCTATAGATTCGTCAAAATGACTTCTTCATCTTCTCTAGCCCCTGACCAATGGGAGGAAAAATCCTTAGGTAAAAAATGCTGAAATTCAAGGGGGTTCTTGAAATTGAAAATTTCAAAAAGCGGTTGATATTTCGGAAATGGAAATTTTCGTTTCCGAACCCTAGTCCCGCGTTCTTTCGCTGCGCTCCGTATCCGTAATTTTGAAAGGTTCGGTTAGTTACGAAGCTATTAATGATCTTGGGCCCCATAACGTTAGCGCCCGGCACAATTGCTGTCCAGCAAAAATTTGCGTTCCCACAACAGGGATGACAGTCTGTCGCTGTTCCGGGCAGGTCCTCCGCGCCGCTGCCATGCGCAAGATCTTGAGTAGCATGCGCGTCGCAGCCCTAGGCACTGACCTTCGGGCCAGCGGCAAACGAGACGCTCTTGCGGTGATATAGCTACATATCGGAACCGGCCAGTCATATAGATTGCATATAGACAGGTCGATGAAATGCCAGACTTCAGATCCCACTTTCAAAGTTGGAAAGGTGCCGTGTGCTACGGCAGAGCAGGTTGGTGGTATTTACACACTCAGTGACTGCTTCAGGGGGACCCTATTATTCGCTGTCTCCTGCCAAGGAGCTTTCTGCGTCTTTCACTGGCATTCAATTGTAAGAGTTGTGATCTGTTCGTGGCTGTTGGACTTAAAGCGCTTATCGACTTGTTACGGACTCCTTAGTGTATTCAAGTTTACAAAGCGCAGTGTATAAGTGCTGTACGTTACATGTATTTTTACTTTCACATACCATTCGCTTGTATTCAATGTAATGAATGTATGGATTGGAATTTTGCTGTGTGGGCGTGAATACGCGGGTAACTGACGGTATGGCAGTACTCTGCCCTATGGTAAAGGTGTAAAAGCAGGGTATAAGAACTGTAACGGTAGGTATGAATGCTACCCCGCTTTTCAAACGTCGGAAAGGGACTTAAGGGATGCATTATGAATGTATTGTGTAATACCGTATAAAACGGTCCCCAGGTAATTTATGGATGACACAATTTTTCAAGGTCCTCTCTCCCTCCTGCCCGCTCCTCCAGCTACACTAAATACTAGCTGGTGATCGCCCACAGCAGAACTTCCCACCGCCCTTGTCCTGGCTTCCCTCAGTCTCCTCGTCGAAACACATAATTTCCGGCCTGTTCTACCTTGGGTTTTCGAAGACAATGAGGCCGATGCCCAATGCCTAATCCCCAATCGCATCCCGCATGCCCTGTTCTGCCCTCCACCGCGGCCTTGAAATAAAGTTTGCGACCGCGCACGCAAGAACCCGCCCATTCTTGAGCTCTGCTGTTTTCCGAGCTGCAATTGTCTTACCGAGTGCTCGGCTACCCACCATCAGTCCAACTCTGTCCGCCAAAAACGACACAACCGCCAGACATCGCGACAGACAGTGGCATGTCTCATTGATGCCGCGCTGCTGCACGCCAACATTTCCATGCTAGGGTGATCGACAATCAACGACTATTCTTAACTGGCGAATTGCTGAATTGGCGCCGGGCCGTCAGACAATACATACCTACCCGACTTTTGTCTTCTGATTCATATTTCCCCCCTTTCTTCTTCTACTTTGATGGTTATAGAACCGTGCGGACCACAAGCAGTCGCACATCACATTGTTCGCTGGGTTGCCCTGCCAAGCATTGGCAAACTTCACAGCTCAGGCATCAAGCTCCCAGAAAAAGCGACGCACACTGGGCTCAGCACAGAGATCAACAGAACCAAAAACCACGGCCTCGAGAAAGGTTCGAAAGTATTTAACTTTCTTTGTCTCCGGTGTAAACAGGCCCCCCAAAACGAGGATTTGACTACGGCCGCTGGCATCTTTCTTCGGCGCTGGGAGACTTGGAATTTTGGCTTTCTGTGGACCGCTAAGGCGGCAACCCTCCCAGACGACTTATACATCCCTGACGATACCCGAATAGAGCTACTTGCATACGGCTGCCACCTCACCACCCAGCCATAGGCTCTCCCGGCCCTTCGTCTCCAAGAGGGTCGACGCAGTCGTACATGTCCAGTGCCTGGGGTCTTGCCTCGTACCTGTACCCGCAGATACAACATACTGCTGCGCGACCACTGGCGACTTGGCTTTGGATGCGCCTTGCTGCTCGCTGATCCGTCTGTGGGCTGGCTGGTCATTCATCGCCTTGCATCTCCAACCCCGGTCGTCCATTCTATCTGACTTCAAGCTCGCTTTCCCCCGGCGCCCGCCTTGCCGGAATCAACAATCCCGTCTATTACTTCCCCGCACTCTTGATCATACTTTTCGAAGACTGGAACACCAGACAAACACTCGGAAAATGCGGCGAAAGACCCCACGTCCCATATAATCTCCGACCCCCCTTCCATACTCACACACGGCCGTGGCGCCCTGTTCACCCGCACGCCCCCAGCTCAGCGGAGTGGTTGCGCCAGTCTCCCCACGCATCTCTCAGGTTCCGGTCATCCCATCTTCGCACCTCCCGACGCCATGTCTACCCCTCCCGACTCCCTCACGCCGACATTACCTTCTGTCTCCTCAGCCATGGCGTCTCAACCAGCCCAATCCCGGCGTCCACGTCCTGACCATGTCAAGACAGACTTGAGCCATCAGACCCGTCTCGTCGTTGGACCTTCTTCAGCCCTCAGCAATTCGTCCGTCTCGCCTAGTTCCCGCGATGGATCTCCTCTTCAGTCGGTTGGGACGGGCCCTGGGACTAGCAGTTCCCTCCAGCAGTCGCCTGAGCCCCTAGAGCCGGTTGAGATGGATTCAACAATCACCCCTTTTCTGCTCCCGGAATCTGTCAGCGCGAAGCAGTCCGAACAACATGGCTCTACCCTATCCCGGAGGACAAGCACCTCTTCGCTTGCCCAAGCGAACTTGAAAAGCCCTGGCACCATGGCCATGGGTGAAGCCGTGAAGATGAGCATCGTGCGTCGCGCGTCAAATTCAGTTCGCAGTAAAGCCGCTGGGTTACTGAACCGCCGGGCCTCGTCAACCAACCCGAGGAGCCGGGATGGGAGCGTTGGGCCAGGTGTGATGCGCAGAAGGGGAAGCACGAGTATCCCTAATACGCCTTTCGAGAACATTAGCCCCTTTGAGACCGACTCGGACGAGGAAGTTGCCGTTGCGAATGATGACCTCTTTGGCTACGATGGAGTCCCCCGAGAACCTAGCACTTCGGATCCGGCCGCTTCGCCCGCTCCTTACGGTCTGATTCCTTTGGCCCTTCGTCAGGGTGTAACTCTGACCAAGGTCACCAAGAAGAAGAGCACCAAGCGGATCGTGCTGTGCCTCGATCCGGACTCGGCCAAGCTCACGTGGGACAGGAGCCGGTCATCAAAGTCTATTTACATTGACGACATTAAGGAAATACGAGTGGCCGAAGATATACGGCAATATCGCCTCGACGCTGGCCTTCCCGAAGCTGACGAGCCAAGATTCTTTTCCATCATATATACTCCTCCGGACAAGTCTGGGACCAAGGTGTTGCACCTTGTTGCAGACGATGATGGGTCTTTCCAGCAGTGGATCCAGGCTCTTGAGACCATCTCCAAGCACCGGCAAGACTTTGCCGCGAGCTTGATGTCGTTTAATGATAAGGCTGTCCGCGCCTACTGGGCGAGAGAGATGGATAAGCAATTCGGCAACAGGCCCCGCTCGGCGGAAGAGGAGCAAATTGATTTCTTTGGCGTCGAGCGCGTCTGCCGCAGTTTGCATATTCACGTCTCGCCCGACCAGTTACGTGCGAAGTTTGAGGCGGTCAAAGGCAGGCGGGCCAGCTCCGATGACCTTCCCTCCACTCAGACGTGCGGTTCCCGTCTCAATTTTGAAGAGTTCCTCGAGTTTGTGCGGCTCATGAAAATACGGGGAGACATCCGCAACGCCTTCCAGGCTCACACGGCGGACAGCGAGGGTGGCATGACCAGAGAGGAGTTTTTGCACTTCTTGCGTGAAGTGCAGCGCGAGAACGTTGAGGAGGACCCGGCCTATTGGGACGCCGCTTTTCTGCGGTTCGCCCGTAAGGGCAAGCCGAGAGACGCTGAGAGGGCCGCTGTGCTGGTTGACGATGGGCTGACAATGTCTGAGGCCGCGTTTGCTAGCTTCCTCACGTCCACTTCCAACGAGGCCATTCTCAAAGAACCCAAGCACTACGTTCTTGACCGGCCCCTGAATGAATACTACATATCAAGCTCGCACAACACGTACCTGCTCGGCCGTCAGGTTGCCGGTATCTCAAGCGTCGAGGGTTACATCTCTGCATTGATGCGGGGCTGTCGCTGTGTCGAGGTCGACTGCTGGGATGGTCCAGATGGGCAGCCCGTGGTGATGCACGGCCGCACGCTGACGACACGCATCTCGTTCCTCGAAGTCATCAAAACTATCAACAAGTATGCCTTTGTCAGGTCTCGCTTCCCGCTGTTCATCTCGCTCGAGGTTCGCTGCGGCCTCGCGACACAGGCAATCATGGCCAGAATCATGATTGAGATTTTTGGAGAAAAGCTCGTCCGGACGCCGCTCGACCCGTCGTCTGACCGCCTGCCATCCCCATCGGAACTGATGGAGCGCATCCTCATTAAGGTGAAGAAGTCGCAACAGCCTGAGGAGTCACCGAAGAACGGCGATCGAGTCGGACGGAGGCGCGGCAACAGCATGCCATCGCCGTATCTACGGGCAGTAGCTGGTGACAATACCTTCGGGCCCCCGCCGGCCAGCCCCCTCTTAAGCCCGACACCTGTCGGGCGTTCAAGTCGCCAAATCAACACAATCGCCGAGGGGGTTGTCCCGGAATCGCTCAGCAGCAGTGGTCCCAGCGAGTACGATAGCGAGAGTGAAAAGGACTCGGCTTCGGTGAAGAAGGTTACTAGCAAGATCAGTCCCATCCTGGGCGACTTGGGTGTGTACTGCTCCGGCATCAACTTTGATGGTTTCGACAGCCCCGAGGCGAAGCGGTTCAACCACATCTTCTCCTTCAAGGAGAAGACCTTCGCCGACAAGAACCAGCCAGGCGAGGGCAAGAGAGCCTTGTACCGCCACAATATGCGGTACCTGATGCGTGTCTATCCCAACGGCGGACGTATCACATCGACCAATTTTGACCCGCTCATTTACTGGAAGCGCGGGGTGCAGATGGCGGCTCTCAATTGGCAGACATTCGATTTGGGAATGCAATTGAACCAAGCCATGTTTGATGGCGGCACGGACAAATCCGGCTACGTTCTCAAACCGCTCGAGGGACGCCAAATTCAGGTGATGCCTAACCTCTCGCCCGACTTGTGCGTGGGCAAACGTCCGAGGAAGAAGATCGCGTTTGAGATTGAGGTTATCTCTGCCCAGCAACTGATGAGGCCCTGGAGCCTAGGCGAGAAGCGGACGCTGGACCCTTACGTTGAGGTCGAGGTGTTCCTGGCCGATGACGAAAGAAGCAAGGCGGATGCAGGCACAGCTGCGTCGCAAGAAGTGCCGCTCAAATACCGCACCAAAATTGTGCGCGACAATGGCTTCAACCCGGAGTTTAACCAGTCGTTTCTGTTCGACATCACCACCAAGTATCCGGACCTGATCTTCGTCCGGTGGAGTGTCAGACTGGCCGACAAGGGCTACAGTGATAGGAACCCCCCATTGGCCACCTTCACAGCCAAGCTCAGCAGTCTCAAACAAGGCTACCGCACCATCCCATTGCTCGACCATAACGGTGACCGTTTTCTGTTCTCGACCCTCTTCTGCAAAATCCGGAAAGGCCAGATGACGGACATTATGGTCTCGTACCAAGAAGACGGCACGAAAAATGGCAACAAGCTCAAGAACATCAGCAAGACTGTCTTCAACCCCCCAACGAGCCCCAAATCCAGCATGGACAGCTTCCGCTGATTGAACTGCCTCGGCGCACCAACATTTCGCATCCTCTCTAGGTCACTACTTCAGCCTTTCAGGGCAGAGTCTTCCAGTCATGGGCACCTGATGTTTCAGGTGGCTCTCGAAGGGCAACTAGAGGGCTGAAATGGTGTCCCAGAGTATACTTCCCATTTTGATGCTCCAAGAACACAATCTCACCACTATGCACTCGGCAGTGCAAGGTCACGAATCATTCGGCTGTAGCCAACCCGAAACTATGTTACTGTACTTTTCTTTCTTTTTCGCTATGTTTATCTGCTGCTGGAGGAGTTTTGGCTGCGGGATGGGGGACATGGGCTTTGAGAAATGCATGTGCCGTCAACGGGTCCTGGAGACCGGAACGGGCCCACGGACTTATTATCATGATACCCGCATTGCGAGCTTGGATTTTGTGAAATGGCGCGAGAGGGTATAGACAAGAGAAGGAAGTAAAAAATCGGTGTTGTTTCAGGTCATCATCGTTTCCCCTTTTGTTTTGTCCCATCATCATGTTTCTTTGCTTCATTCGTCATCAGATGGCGCTTCTAATTGAAAAATTAGCACTTGGAAATTGGAGGAAGCATAGGCATCCTGTACGAGTATCTGGTTCGGGCACAGTGTATCTCCCCTGATGGCATCATTCAAGTTAGGCATCTAGGAATTGGTTCGGAGTTTGATCAGGACGGGCAGGCTTGTCAAGGATCTAGGGTTTTCTGCTTTGCTTCGGTGCTTCTCTGTGGCCCGCTCTCTTCTCTCTTGGTTGGTAAGGTTGGACAATGCGGCGTCCAATCACTTTTCCGGGATTTCACAGTGGCGGCGACAAAGGCAACTGAGCTCACCTTCCGTAGCCAACAACGCATTATGAGGATTGCATTTGCTAGGGAGGGTCGAGGCAAGGAGTTGCGTCTAGTTTCTGGAGTCGTCAAGGCATTCATCGCATCATCATAACGACATGAGGGCGACCGGGCTTGTATGGCTTAGTTCATCTTACAGCTCTGGCAGGATATATGTGGTTGTCGACCACGTTGAGGGAAGGTTAGGTTGCCTGCATGCATAGCATCTGTTTGAGGCCCGGTGGCATAGTCGTGCAATATATAGCAATACTGGTGGCTCACGCTGCAGTTCGAGCAGAGCCCATATCTCCCCTACTTGACCGAGGTGTCGGCGCCCTGCGTGAGTAGGTTGTATGCATATCACACAATGGTGTTCCAGCACCCCAACCTCTCTTGACGACCTTTGAGTCAAGACATGCTGATGTCTCTTCTCATATCCTGGGAGTTTTGTTGGAACGAACCAACGACCTGCCTCGCCATATTTAAATTTATTTCCCAATCGCGTGGGGATGGAACAACCCAGACAAGGGCAGCTTCGAATCAGGTACTTCCATTATATATACAACACAATAGAAATTACTGGACACTCGCGAAGCCAATAACGGGTATCGAGATCCCATTCTCTTTGGTATAACCAATACAAAGTGATACCCATTGGTCAATTGCTGGGAGGGTACTTGGGAGGAGCTACTGATACGAGTAGCGTTTGTTGTTCCATAAAGGGGAGTATGTGGTGACAAGCGTCGACGAACCAATCAAGCGAAGAACAAGATAGAGTAAATCTAAGGCCGGAGAAAACAGCCCGGGACGGGCCATTGGCAGGGAAGAGGTGAAAGGTGAAGGCAGAATGAGGTCAGATGACCCAGTCAACGGTCAACTAGGCTTTACAGTTGTAGTTCCAGTGAGTGAATTATGAGTAACTATGACGGCATAGCACGAGCCTGTCAACGGGTACAGTACAATGATTACTTGAAGTCCAGGTGCTGTCAAGACATCTATCATCTCTAGGTACCAGGACAGGCGTCATCCGGCCGGGGCTAAGGATGGTATGGTAAGATGGAGTACATACATACAATACGTAGTGGATATTTACAACAGAGAAAACGGGGTGACAAAGGGATACGGCGGTAACTTACATTAAGGACAACGCTGTGTCTCATCAACAATAGGTTCCTGTAGACGATTCCGGGAATACCATATGTAGTCATAGGACATTACGGGAAAGAGTGAAGAGAAAACATCAACTGCGCTCTCCACTTGGAGCTCCTTGGAACTCAACTATCCACTAAAGGTAGCGACGGCAGGAATACTTGATCGAAGTATCCATTACTTTGAGCAAGCGGGCGCTCGCTTGAGGTATACTCTACTACTGTGAGAGCATAGCGGGAACTTTGAATGAAGCACACTCCAAGGCGCAGGAACCTACCCCTGAACGAGAGGCCCAACGGCTTTGATATCAAGCTGGCGACGCCGTGGCCGACGATATTACTCCGGTAGGAACAAAAAAACACGATAATGCGCTCGTGTTAAGGGAGCAGCCAACTCGCCTGAAGCCGCAATTAACCCAGCAACGCAGAACGTAGACATGGCCAAGATGAAGAACATCTCAAGGATCGAAGCTCAACCTAATGATAAACCACGTTATCCTAGCATTGCAAAGAAGCAGGTATAAGGGTTTCCGACACTTGATTTCTTTCAAGTGATGATAGTAAACAACACGACGTAACCACAATCCGAACCCCCTGTTCCATCCATACACCCCCAACCCCCCAACAACAACTTCACCCTCACTTTTACCCTCTCCCTTCCTCCCCAAGGGGCCTTACATTCGCCTTGATCTCCCTCACAACCTCCCTCGTCCGGACATTATCCTCAAAACTAAGATTGATCAAGTCAACGACCTCGTCCGCAGTGAAATACAGGCTCAGCTCGCCCTCAACCCACAGGTACCTGACATCGCGGAGGTTACTCTGGAGGACCTCGCTGAGGTATTTTAAGCGCAACCAATTCGGCGCGAACTGCGCCGTGGTTGGCACCTCCCCACCCGCTTCCCCGCCTTTCTCCTTTGCTCCTGATTCTGTTGTTGTCCCCTGGGACGACTGCTGCCACCGGCTGGGCAGGAACAGCTCGTCGAGGGTCTCGACCGAAGCGATCAACTTGGCGATGCGGTAGGCCTCGTCCTGGCTGATGGCGGGCAGGTCCATGACGTCGGCAATTATTTTGGTCGCGACGCCGTCGACCAGCGAGCCCGCGGCCTGCTGCCACACTGAGCGCGCCAGAATGTCCTCCCACGCGACTGCCAACGAGCGGACCCGGCTGATAGACGCTGAGACGCACGACTCGCTGTCGTCTTGTTGCATCAGGTTTTGTTCGCCTGGCGGTGAGGGATAATGGACGGGCAGTAGTTAGTGAAATAGTCAAGGAAGGGTGTCGGAGAGTGGGGGCGGCCAGGCATTGCTCTTACCGCCGAGAAGATCCCTAAGCACAGTCTTTTGTATGGCTAGTTCGTTGGTGTAGGTGCGGTTGGCGAAAGTCTGCAGGGACTTGATGTCGTTTTCTAGTCGCAGCATGTTTTGCGCCCGAGTGCTGATGTCGTCGCGATGCTTCCACTCTGCGGCAAACTCCGCTAGTCGTTCCGACAGGTAGGTGGCGTCGTTGTAAAGATACCTGTCCCCGGTCAGAATAACTGCGCTGGTGAAATCTCGTGAGTTAACCACCTACATGTTCCCGCCGATACTTGGAGCATAGTAATGCGGTGAGATGGCCCTGAAAATGGCCAGAACAAGCGTTGGGAGACTGAAAAGCCCTGCAGCTGCAGCAGCGACGGGGCTATTGGCGTACGTGTCTTGAGTCAGGGCGTTGCCATCCTTCACAATCGAATATATCAAGTCCAGGACGGGCTGCGGCATTGAAGTAATGCTGTAGTTCTCCTTCAATATGAATTCTCTGGTCTGCGGCTCTGATTTCGGAGCTGGCCGTTGGGAATTTCCAGGGACTTCGACTTGGGCTTCGTTGGCCTCGTCTCCCCAGCCCCAAGCTGCTGTTGGATCTTCGTCCTCGTCATCCTTGGCATCTCTAAGCTCCTCCTTTGGCTCTTCTGCGGCAGCTTCATCATCCCCCCACCCCCATGCGTCGGTACCGTCATCATCTCCTTCTGGAGGTTTATCTGTCGCATCATCCCCCGCCGCTTCAGGTGCTCCTTCTGCGTCATCCCAAGCGTCCCATCCGTGGTCATCGGAGGAAGAGATAGCACCATTGGCGGCTAGCTGTTCGCTTTCCAATCTCGAAACCACTTGTTTCTCTACCTTTTCTACTCGTCGAGATGCGCCGAGACCTTGTGATAGCCTTGTTCGAACGGAATCTAGTGCTGCTTCTCTGCATTTCGAAAGCCAAACTCTTGGGGCGCTCTCCGTCCACTCCTGCAGGTCGCCGAGATTTGAGAATCCAAGAACATTCAATGTGTTGCAGAAGTTCCTGGCCGCCGCAATGATGTCCTGGAACTGTTCCATGTCCTGAAGCGATGACGGCACAGCGGAGTCCAGCCAGACAGTCGTGATTTTGTGTATTGTTCCGGGTAAGAGGCTAGATGAAATAGTTTCGACAAGGTCTGGCGGTAATCTCCGAATCAGGAAACCAAAGACCTGCTCGAGATCGGCAAACAATGATTTGACCGACTTGTCTGACGAGCCTCGTACTTCCAGGGTGTTCTTGGATCATCTAGAGTTACTAGAGCAGTCTATTTCAGTTTGGGGGAGCAAGCTTACGTCTTGTATATGAATACTAGGCAATGTATCCTTGGTAATATCCATCCTCGGAAGAAGGGTGGCCTCATTGATGCCCTGCCAGAGTTGGCTCATCCGCTGATCGACTTCTTTGTACGCCTTCAAGCCAATCACGGCATCTTCGAGGGTCATCGGCTCGTCTACATCGATCAGGGACTGGATTTAACCAAGTTGGTTCCACCAGCACTTACCTTCCCGACTAGTTCTGATCGAGACTTTCTTGTTTTCGATGTCAACGTCTATAAGCGCGTTCCAAACATGGTCAAGGACCTCATGCACACCCGACTTGAGCTCAAAAGCCCGTATGTCGAGGAGTTTGAGAGCCCTGCAGGACTTGTTCACCGGTATGGCATCCAACTCATTCCAGGATCCTGTCGGGAATTAGCGGCGCCAAACCAGGGGCTGCCCTAATGACTTGCTCACTTTCAAGCAGGCGCAGAGCATCCAGAATGCGCCGCTCGTCGCGGGCTTGCTCGACTTCCTCCAGCGTGCGGTTTACAGTTCTGATGCCCCTCAGGGCCTCCTGGACCTGAGAGTTGTAGTTAAGTTCACGGATTAACAAGTCTGCTTTTGCCTCAGCATCGCGTATTGCCTGTCCAGACACGGCAGGGGTTTCAGACGCCTTCAAGATCTCGTTGGCGAGCGCCCTGGATTGAAGGATGTCGTCCTGCACGGATTGCGCATTCGCTTGCCATGTTCTCACATCGTCGGCCGTCTCCTCGTTGATGGCGTGTATCTGGGCCTGTATAAAAGGCCGCTTAATACTGGTGCAATGTGCGCAGTTGGCGTGAGACTGCCCGTACCTGGAGTTTCGCTTTGGCGTCCGCGAGAGCTTTGATGGCCGGCGGCAGAGAGCTGGCGTCAACCGGAAGCGATGAGACGTCCTCCTCAGGGAAGGAGTCGCTGATAGAAAAGTCAACAAGTGCTCGGGCGACCTCGGCCATCGGCAAGTCGGGGCTGGCCATGAGCTGCGCGGACGTATGCTCGCAGGCGAAGTGCGAAGTGCGGAAGTCGCCGGAGGTGGAAAGGAAGAGCAGCTCGATCCTTCATTCCCTTATCAGGAGGGACCGAAAAAGCTGCCCTATTCCACGGCGTAACTGGGCGCGTCACTTGCCAATCTGGTAGGCGTCGAAGGTAACTTTTGTAATCGTAAAGTTTGGGGGTTCGGCAGATCAGGAGTTGACGTTGGCCAGCTTGTCATGAACATGCCTCTAATTGGAAGCCAAAGGTAATCCTAGGTACGAAGTATCCGTAAGAGCTCTGGACCTCCCGTCGATCCTTTAACCGTGGAATAAACCAATTCCTTGGCAAAACGCGAAACTGGCCAATTGAAGTTTGTTCCGGCTGCCAAGACGCAAATCTATACAATTCGCTCGATTCCTCTAAGACGACTGTGGTCAGTCTTTAAAGCGACTGTGGTCACGGACCACTTACTGTATCCGGCCAGTCCATTACCGCATCTGGCTCAGGCCAAGCCGTGCGCCACACACCCAAATTTTGCAGGCGCATGCATCGAAGTACCTAAACTTGGTGATGCGCAAGACTCTACAGATTCTTCGCAAATTCTTCGCCATCAAACTCATTTCGCCTACACCCCTATATCTTCTACCTACAACCCTTACCCACCTACCTTACCTACCCTCCACCTATAACCCTCTACCCACCCACCTA